CTTCTTAGTTAGAGGTGAATTCGAAGCCATGGACATATGTTTTATATGAATAGATTACTTCCAGTTATGGTTTCATAAAGTATGAATGTGATTTACTTTTCTGTTTTATTGAGGACTTATTCTTGCATGTTTATTAAGGATGCATACTTAGTTCGTATGCAGGGATTTGATGCTAGAATAAAAGGGAATTTCACCTCATCGTTATGAACTTATATTCACAAGTAGTAAAAGTCACTAGTCATGATTGCATTAAGTAAATTCCTGGCAGGAGTATCATGCTTTTCATAGTTTGTCAAGGTTCACGATTTTCATAGAACTTAATGATCTTTGATATGTATCTCTATCATGCTGTTCATATAAGGAACTTGATAAGGATAATTTGATTGCGTCGCTGAGTCCAATTCAATAAACTTAGGAAAATCTGAGAGTATTAGGAAAATCTGAGAGTTAATGAGTGCATTCACAATTAATTTGGGGCATTGTCGTTCATACTTTATAGAAAGAGTAACTGGAGATCGATTTGTGTGCATATGTTCCATGTGTGGAGAAGAATCCTCTAGCTATCCCTTAATCCATATTTCATTCACAACTTAGTTGTTTGCTGCTGTCAATCTTACTTTAGTCTAAAACGTCAGAATTCCCCACAATCATTGTTCCCTTAACTTAGTTTCCAGTTTAATAAGTTTAATTTGTGTTGATTAGCATCCCTTCTAATCCCCGAAATAGAACGATCCCTACTTACGCGTACTACGATTGCATAATTTATAGGGTTTAATTTGTGCGTTAGTTATTTCTCACGCCACCTGCGTGGATGTGTCGCCAATTTGTGGGGATCACTAAGGCTTATTGTGAAATCTGGGTAACAATCAAAATGAATTGGACCATTAAATAGACTTGACTCTATGATTCCTAGAGTACCATAACTAAAATTGGTAAATCTTGCATCATGTAAACAAAGTAAAATAGAGGTATTTAGTCCTAATCTGCTACTTGAACTAGGCCAATGAAGGAAATTGTTTCCGTCTCTCTTATGTTTCTTTATTGACTCAAGATTGAGTAGTTGACATGTTTCATGTTCTTTACTTAAGGCATAGATTTGTTCGACTATTTTCACATGGGTTGTAATTTTAAAGGAGGAGATTGACCATCTTTTTCTATATATGTCTGAACTGGGGACTTTGGGGATATTCCAATCTTTATAATCAACTTCACTATTAGTTTCATACTAAATTTGTTCTTCATTTAATATTTCTGAGAGTTTACTAATACTGGCTCTTGAACTGTTGCTGTTACAAGAGTTTGATCTAAAAAGGCGACTCATTTGAACAAGGATTACTAGTTTTCTCACAAAGGGTAAGAAGAAAAGATAATAATTTGTAAAACCATGCCCTAAGCTCAATTAATAGCTTGAAGTAAATGACACACAAGATGTGTTGACCCAGAAAACCCAAAAGGGTAAAAAACTGGAAGAAACAAGTTGGGAGAGATCCAATCCTTTCATTTTGAAATACAAGAAAAACGAAAGAAGACTTAGCTCAATCTATCACCTATAGGCAGCTTCAATCAACCTTTCAGCAAACACCTTTTCTTTATCTCTTATCAGCAAATTCTCTCAAGAGCACCAAGCTCTAGTTGCATGTAGTTTGATGTATGGAGTGAGTTATGGTTTCACAGATTCATCTATCTCAATCACAGAGTATGATTGAGCTAAACAAATGAAACCTAAGTGTCGTGAAGAATAAACTAGAAGTAAAGAATTTGAACTAAATAGTTTAATTCAACATAACAACAACACAGAAAAGGTTTAGAACTAAAATCTTGTAAATGTATACTTGGAGAAGGTTATATGTATACTATCAATCGTATACTCACAGGTAACATATACTAGCTAAAACATTAATGAAGAGATTGAAGTAAAGAGAACATTCAGCCATTAAAGATTTAAAGTCATCCTGGGGAAGCACTTATGTGAATGCAATCATTCTCATAACAACTACTGGGTACATTAGCAATTTATAAATAACCATCTATACTCAATCATAACATGACCCAGATAAATCATTCTCGGTCAGGACTCGTTTACACGGTCATTTAAACACTTCCCAAGGAATATAACTACCTTGAAAGACTCACGGTCAACCAAGGGGTCAAACTGTCTAAACTTGTTCAATCGGGCTCGCAGGGCCCACGACCTTCGATCACAAACTCGAGAGTCTCTAAAGGTTCCAATATGTCTAGGACACATGTCCCAAGAGTTTGGTCTCGATCGGATAGTCGGATTACTCACGATCGCATGATCGGGTAGTTACTATAAACCTAGCCCTAGGGTTCGCGATTTCGGAGTATCTGGGACTCCGATTCGTGATCTCCTGAATTCTATACGATCCTGGAAATACAAGTTACAATATACCAATCTTGGAAATCGCACAATAGGAGAAATCTGTTAGAGAGACAATGTCCAAATTGAAATCTGAGCACACCTACACACTCGTGACAACTATGGGATCGTATTGGGACACAATGCCCATCTTCTACAATGTCCACGTGCTACCACACTCTTCGGCAGCACATGAGTGTCCAAAGCGATAACAATCGCCGAAAAATTCTCAAATTTAAGGGCCAAGTTCCTACCCTAGGTGCAAAACCTTATTTGGAGTCACTTTTGTTCTTGGGCATATCCCAAAAAACAAGTGGAAATGGCCGGAATCGAGCTTCCAAAATTGGCCAAACACTAAATCCAAAATTAACCCCACTTACGCTAGAAATTTCTCAAATCCTACCTAACCATAAACTAGAGCACAAAAAATAGTCGAAAATCCATACCTTACTCAACTGAATTGGTGGCCGGAGGAGAGAGATTGAAGCCGGCGAAATTCTCATTCAAAACCGACAATTCCGATCTCGATCCGGCGAGATTTTGGCAGCTACTGGCGTCTGGGTGAGCTGGGATTGACTGCAGAGGTAGGCCGGTTGCCTTGGCACTAGTGGCGAGTGCTGGGGTGGTCGTGAATGGTGGCTGCAGTGGTGAGGGGCTGCGGGAAGAAACCAGAAAGGGGAGGGGGTAGAGAGAGGAAGAGAGTTTTAAAATTTCTGATATGGCAAATTACAATTTTGCTCCTCAATGTATTTTAATCGTATTTTCTTCATTATAACTCCGATTCAAGCCCACTACGTGTCTATGGACTTGTTTCATTACGCTCTACTCAATGGTACAATAGAAGTTCCCAAATTCTTTCCCGATCAAAAAGTCAACTTTAAACATAAGAAAAAATTTCGAGGGTATTTTAGCCTTTTTCTCAATTAAATTAATAATTAAAAATTAATTAAGGACCGGGTTGTTACATTGGTAGCTAGTCATCATAGTTTTCACGGCAGAAAAATTTTAGAATCGAAGATGAGTAATGCTTTGTATAGAAATGAAAGCAAGGATATGAACGATAAATGGAAAGTTAGATGAGAAAAGAGGGATGTAGTTCATGGAGATTGAAAAGTCCACTGGAAGGGGTAGAGCTTATTGCTTTCAGTTCTTTTAATATAATTTTGGGGCTAAAATATCTACATTCAAGGGTAGGACCGAGAAAAATTGGCTCCCAGCAGGATAGGAAAATTTTTTGAAAAAAAGTTTTGGAGGTGTAGGGGCTTTTTTGGTTCCAACAACTACAAATAGGCTGAGCTGTAGTAAGGATCAAATAGGTGAAATTACCCCTTGAGTCTTAGTTCAAGAATTAGACCCCAAGAATGCTTCGAAAAGGTAGTGAAGCCCTAGAAAACACCCTAGTTATCTTCACCAACATAAACAATGACTGCTTACAGGAAGATTCTTAGCTTTGCATGAGAAGCTTGTGGCATAGGAGCAAAGAAGTCATGATTTTAGCATTAAAGAGAGATAGGGCTGTGAGTTCCTATGAGAAACAGGGGTTCAAATGAAAGGGTGAAGGGATTCTAAGAAGGTTTGTTGAAGAGAGAGAGATATGGGGGTATAATGGGTGTGTTGAATAGTTTCCAGCAGCTTGATGAAAACTATGTCAAACTCTGGAACGATTTACCAGAAGAGAAATTGGGAAGAGATGAAGGAATGAGGCTCAAATTTGTAGAGATTTCAGGGATGAGGGATGAAGCTTGCTCTCTGGATGTGTGTTGTTTGATGGGTAGGATATGACCCCTTTTTATAGCCGCTGGGAGCTCCTCCATTCCAAGATACCCTAATGGTTACTTTCCGATTTTGCCAAGCAGCCCAAAACTTTCATTTTTCGGCTCATCAATGGGCCTCATGAAAATTCGTTACCATCCATACCACAATCCACACAGCAAGTCCCGGGCATTTGCGTGGCTTAGGACCACTTAAGTTTGTAGTGCGGTTGGGTGTAATAATAATGATTTTCGCTTGGCGTTGCATGTCGCTTAGCGTGTTTGAATTTTGTCGTCTTTAAAAAGGGATATGATGTTTGACAACATAATTAGTATGAGCTTGTAAAGCCAGTGCATTTTATAGGCTATAGTGTGGCAGATTACATATTTATTTGGCATGACATGTGGATCGTGACTCGTGTGAGCGTGAATGACGAACTTTTGCGTGCTCTAAATCAGGTCTCTTCTTAATAAGGTATCGCACTGGGCCGAAATTTTATTTGGGCCAATCCCTGAATTTTTTGGGCCTCAACAGGAGGATAGAGGAGAGAGAACAAATTGAGGGTTTCACTTGGAATTACATTTTTGGAGCCATTGGATTAGATCTAAAAGTGTCATCACATGAAGGTTCACAAATAGAAGTACTTACCAGAGAACGGCCCATGAATGTAATATGTAAAAATGTTTGTGATGGGCCTGGCCTGTCTTGGATATAATAGCTTCGTTTCGTAGTAAGCGAGGGAAGGACTTCTTCAGGAAAGTTTGAAGGCGGAGATTGTTGGGCAACCAAAGCCCAATCTTTGTGCGGACAGCGGACCGGAAGTATATAAATTGGTCCAAGAAATGAACCCAAACCTTTCTTCTCTGCTATCGCTATCCCGTCTCAAGCCCTAACTCGAGAGCATTCTTTTCGTCCCGTCCGATCCGATCCTTCCCAATGGCTCAAGCTGCTCATCCCATATGCAAACTCCTGATACTCTCTGGAATTTCTATAATGAGTTATAAAATTTATAATCTCGCAGATGAAGCATCGACACTGATGCTAGAAGCGGACAAAAAGGTCGACGAGTTTCAGAGGTAATTGTTAATTATATGGTTTTTTTTCTTTTATAATTTTTATTTCGAGTTTCTAATTATTCTGCATCCTTGCTTTAATTGGTTTCTTCGCTTCGCTTCATAATCGTGTTGGTTCTTCTGGTCTTTGCATCTCTATATTTTCGTTTACTACAGCCTTAACATGCAAGGCTGTTTTGGCCTAATTATGTCATAGGTTTACGAAAAATATTTGTTACCCTCAGTTTTGTCCATCTCAAATTTCCTTTTTCTTTATCTTTCTTTTTATCCTTCTCTTTGGAGAGGAGGGGGGGGGGGGGGGGGGGGTTTGGTGTTGTGTGAGATTATTTGCACAAACAGGTATGTCAAAGGGTAAGAGATGAAGAGTGCATTTAAGCTCTTTCAGAGAAATATCAGTAGGTACTCTAGGAACTGCAAAGTTAATTTACTGTGGTTGCAAAGGCCACTGTTCTCCCCATATTGTTGCACTCTGATTTGTGCATAAAAAATCATTAATAATTTTTGGATTCCGAACAATAAGTCTGTTATTAATTTTTACAAGGTATTTTGTTTATAATATTCTATCATTTCTGTTGGAAGTACAAAGGTTGCAGCTTGTGTAAAGCATTTTGTGGGTAATGGGGGAACAACCAAAGGCATCAATCAGAATAACACTCTGATAAACAAACACGGCTTGCTCAGCATTCACATGCCAGGCTACTATAATTCAATTATCAAGAGATGAAGAGTCCTGGTTTTTTCCAGGGTTACACACATATAATATACTAATACTGAGGCTGAAAGCCCACATATACAATGTCGTCCCCTGGGAAATTAATTGGAGACTACCATATAAGTAGGAACTAGTAAACTTTTCTTTGGACTCGGTTCTTGTCTTGTCTGTCTGGCCGCCATTTCTACTTCAGTGAGCTTGTTTAACTTATTCAATAATTCAGTCGATACGTTTTTCCATTATGGTGAAATTCTAAATTGGCTTGTCTATTGCAAATGTTTTAGAATCGAGTTGTGTTTGATTTATATTTAGGTATGTTTATAGAGGAATCCTCAAGTGTGGACTTCCTCAATGCATACTTGTCACCAACATTTATAGTTTGACTTTACTTGTTTTCCAATAGGACCAGTCATAGCTTTACAAAGTACGACGTCATTGATGTGTACCGGGAATGGAGGGAAAAACAAACCGTCCTGGACACCATTGCATCTATACGCAGGTTCAGGTACGTATATCGCAGTTAGTTATCTTGGTTTTGATTGATCTATCTATGTAATTTTTAAATGTTGGCCTTTTGGCCACTACACCACTCTTAGGTTTCTTGCTGCACTATTTTAGGTTTGCGTGACTAGATTACTTTATCTATTCTTTGCATGCAAATCCCTCTCAACTGATTCAACACCCAAACCTGAATCACTAACTCAAAATCATCACATTTCATCTAATGTGCTTATGAATCAGGATTCATTTAAGATGAACAAAATGTGGTTTTATTACTTTATTGGCAACAACGGAGACTTCTAAACCTTCTCTCCCTTTTCATTTTTATTAATTTATTTTTTCTGGTTTTCTCTCTTTAATTTGATTGCATGTCTACTTCTGCATTTCTCAACTATCTTCTTCACTCTCTTCCTCTACATCTCCATAACCCATCTCCCTCTGCAGCTCGGCTCCTTCAGCAACTCCCTCTGTAATTTCTTCACTTCAAGCCATGCTAGTACATAAGTTGTTTGTAAAATATCTGATTTTACCAAATAAGATAACTACAACGAGATATTGTATTGGTTTTGTTCTGCTAGTACATAAGTTGCTTGCCCACTGTTATTGTACTGGTTTTGTTCTGCATCCACTTATTTCCTTTTGTTTTTAGCATGCATAGTTGGACTTGACTTGTGCGTGTGTGTGAATAGGGATGCTAGTGCGGGGAAGATGCTAGAGTAGTTTCATGCTTCAAATACTGATCGCCCGGGCCTCATCTCTCCATGATGTATGTGTTAGTTTAATCTTTCTATGTTCCTCAGTTTGTTAGTGTAGATATACATCTCGTTTTGCTTTTGTTACGGCCGAAAAGCTCTCTATTTTATCATGTTGGTCCTTTGTAACGCATAAGAAGTTTTACTGATTTTATATGCATAAGATATACAGTTAGATAGTCTTTTTCTTATAATGTTTTGACATTTATTTACTGAAAGGGCAAAAAGTTGGGTCTTTTGCTAAATGTGTAAGCACATGAAATTCATTGCTAGATCATATGGAAAGGGAAATATGATAAAGATTCACGTTATTACAATGATTAGAATGTATGGATTAAGTCTTGTGCTTTGTGTCATTTTCTTTTCAAATGTATCATGTATTGGTTTACAACATGTAGGCTTCAATTTCAAACTTCTATAACATTCCCCCTTGGAGATCACAATGTATAGAATATGCCTATTTAAAAACCTTGCCAATAAAATGCAATGGGACAAAAATTGGTCAAAGGGAAAAAGAGTACATATCTATGTGTAATATAAAATTCTGTGTATATAACACTAACACACGTGCGGCACTGCCTCTTTAAAACTTTACCAGGAAAAACCCAGTGGGGCAAAAATATGGAAGAATAAAAAAGAGTACAATGTGTGAAGATCTGTATTGATGGCACGCTCCCCTTCATGTTTGCAAAATACCTTTAATCCATACTGTTGATCATCTTTCTGAATATCATAGTTGACATTGCTTTTGTGAATCAATCTTAATAGTATTGTTGTATGCTTCCCCTAATATCTTCATGACTATCTTTTGGAAGGAAAATTTTTCGGAGTGTAACATCCCTACCCAAATTAATTATTATTTATTTAATTGAAGAATTTATAATTCTGCCCTAAGGTAAGGTCACGTTAGTCACTTTTCAATTTGCAAGGATTTTTGGGATTTGAATAGCACCATTGCATAGAGCTCATCGATACAAATTCGTAGACACGTATTGGGCCCAAATCGAAGTTTTAATAAAGAAGTTATGGTCAACAGAATTGTAGTGGCACAATCGTAATTTTTTCAAAGTTGATTTTTTAAAAACTAGGTCTGTTCTCTCTCTCTCTCTCTCTCTCTCTCTCTCTCTCTCTCTCCCCCAATCGACTCTCTCTCCAGCCTCTCTCCTCCGTCGCGGCACCAAATTTCAGATGGTGATTTTGTCGTCGTCTGGCCACTAAATTGGACAAGAAAAGTTGCAAAATCTGTCTCTTCTTGCTCTACATGTCCATGCCCATTTCCAACTTCGAAACTCAAAGATTGGTCACAATTTTTTACTGAAACTGAGCCGAAAGTCAATGTTCATCGCGGGAACTGTTCGTATGATTTCCAGCGTTTCCAGCTGCCAAAATTTTCAAACCAGGTTCTTTGGCGCTATGAATCGCTCCGAATGAAACCTCAGAGAGTTGAGTGTGCTTTGGACTGTGTGTGAGTGGACATTTGTTTTACAAATGATTTTTCCTGCCATGTTGGTTTTATGAAATGTTTTGTGAATGAATTATTTATGGCATTTACTTTCTAAGTATTCGGTTTTGGTTGAAAATGATTTATACATGATTTAATATTTGAGGTTGATATTAAATGTTTAGAAATGATTTAATTGTGGTTTATGTTTCAGAATTAGTTTGAGAACGATTTGGAAGGAATTATAAATTGTTTGAATCAAGATAGTGAAATGGGATTTATTAACGGTTTAAAAAGGGGTTTTGTTTATTTAATTAAGCAAGATTCGTATCTTAGTTTGGTTTTGAAAGATTGGGGTATTGTTTGAGAAAACCGAAGAAGGATTTGGTGGAAAAGGGATTTGTGAAAAATGGAGTTTTTATATTTAAGTGTCGAGAAGTGGATTTCAAACCCACCCTAGGTACCCGTTCCAAGTTTTCTTCGGAATATCTCGGTTGCCTTCAATAAAGTATGTGCACATGATTAGAATTGCTTGTACCTACTTAGAGACTATGTAGGTGTCCGGCAAGTGGGTTGCTTGTACCTTCAGTAAGGTTATTATGTAGGTGTCTGGCCAGTGAAGGTGTCTGGCCAGTGAATTGCATGTAGCTGCTTATGTGGGTGTCCAACTAGGATTTTCCCCTGCCACTCTGCCGATATACTAAACAGGGTTGCCCAGTTTTCCCTATAGGTATACTTGGGTGGAGAGTTTTTATGAATTGGATTGACACTGGATTTCAGATGAAATGCATACTGAGCTTGCTTGATTTATTGAATTCAAAGAATGGTTTGAAACTTGATTTCTGTTGAATTATATTTTTGAGTTATTCGATATTTTGGAATTAAATGTTGTTTGAAATACCAGATTGTATTAATTGAAACTTTACTTTCCAGTTATTTCCAAGATTGTTTTACCTACATGTGGATTTATTATATTATGTTCCTGTACGTAAATTTGGTTCTTTTGTTAGTAAGTTTTTAAAGGTTTGCGAAAGCAGATGGGTTAGTATGTTCAGTATAATTACTTTCAAGAAAAACTTTCTTTTTGTTCACTCACGCTTGTATTCTTTTTGTTCACTCACGCTGGCGTCGATGAGGTCCTTTTAGTTCTACCTAGTAGGAAAATTCATTTTCTATTTTTGTTGTTTATTTGGAAACTAACTTTTTAAATTTAAGTCCAGTAGTGGCTCTGATATTTCCCATTTAGGACTAAATTTGAGGTTGGTGGCCATGTGAAATTTGTGTGCGCCTTATCTTGTGTGTGCTGCCTGTAGGGATTATTAGATTGTCGTTATTTGCAGGTGTTAATCTAGAAAAAGTCCACTTTACAGGGGAGGCTTCGTCGAAATTTCGGTAGAAGTCTCGACCCATTTTTCTTAGATGCGGTTGAGAGGTGTAAAGTTAGTAGTAGGTCTGGCATCGTTCGGGTGCTGGAATATATAACAGGATTTGACACGAGTTTCGAGGGGGAATTTGGCTTGGGTCTTGTCACGACGTGAGTAGTGGATGTAGCCATAAAAAATTCCTTAGTTGAGTAAGTAAATGTATTTCTAGTGATATAACACAAGTATTGTTTACATCCATACACTACTACAAAAAGCGAAAAAGACGACCCGACAACAAGGACGGTAGTACAAAATATCGTCATTGTGTTTAGAAAGACAACGGTAACAAAAGATCGTCATAGGTGAGTAACGTACACACCCAAAATATCGAGTTCCGGTTGGGTATTTTGACAGGACCTGCCCCGAATTTCTCGGAATTCGTGACGAATCCTGGGGTTTTTTTGTCATCCACTCAATGTCGGGCCCACTTACTAACATCACCATCTTATCCAAAAATGAAGGAAAAGAGGGGCAAGACTTTCTGTCGAAATTTCGATACAGTCTCCACTGAAAAACGGACTTTCCCAAAAAAATTTAACATGCCAAAGCACATTAATAAATCCCAACCAACATCATGCACAATGTAGAAACACACAATTTACATACTAGGCCTCCGACCTTACGTCCAACCCTAGCATGGGCGATAACATAACAAATCTAGACAAATTCAGTTTACAAGCGAAAACAAAGTTCAATAGAAATCGAGACAAATAAAAGTTATCCTATAAGAGTTCGGGGCTCGACAGTTCAAGTCTCCGCTCGGCCGCTCGGTTCAGGTCTCGTTATTACCTGGGGGCGCAAAACAGAAAAGCACAGGGGACATATACATAAATAAGCCAAACAGGAAACTTGTGAGTGGACAAAACAAAGTTTTTTTATAATTCAAAACAACATACTAACCCCATTGTTTGGAAAACAATGCTAAAATCATGCAATCAAAAACATTCATACTTATTCGTTGTGAAATTGATGTACTCTCACACCCCCGATATAATATGATAATATCCAAATCAAATCCTTTGACTCCAACCAAATCCCTTCCCGAAACATAGGCTTATAAAACAAAATATGTAAAGAAATTTTTTGAAATAGTTAAGCGTATATACATATATATAGCTGTATACATGTAGACACGAAAAATCTTGAAATTGTATAGATATACACTCTGAAATCCATAACTATACAAATAATATAATTTATAAGTATATATCATATTTTCACACCAACACGAGTACCGGAGCAACAATCCAGCACGAGGATTGTTTAACTAGCTCGTAGGGTTTCTCCTTTTTACTCCGCGTCTAGGGATGAGCTGACCAACTGGGGGACTACCACTCTACAGCACACATGCCGGAAATTCCAGAGCCACGTGCGGCCAAACCAAACCAACTATGTCCCATGTGCACAGACTGCTTTATCACACACCTGATATTCCAATGTCACGTGTGAAAAGTACTAACAAAATCATATGGGCCCACATGCCAAAAAATCCAACGCCACGTGTGGGTACAATAATCAGGGGAGGGTACTTAGCATGGTGCAATTACATACTCATATAATAATCTACAAAGTACCCAATCATATCAAGCACTTGCCCAATTATTTAGTCATAAAGCAAATAGCAATTTCGCAACACATATAATCCATATCCAATATAATTATAAACTTCAATTACCAAGATAACTGGAATTTCCATAATTAAATCTAAACTATATAATCAAAATAATCCATTCTAAATGCATGGTAATTTAATTGTTGAAAATAATGCTATTTCAAAACAAAGTCTACTCACAGGAAGTCCGACGCTGCGTGATCCTGATAGGGTCCTGCTTGTTGAGTGTGCTGAATTAGAGTACCTATTGAAGAATACGAGGACTAGATTAATTAAAATACTTTGAATGAGAACTTTAAAACAAACTCCTAGATTTTCCAGGACTCAAGTGAGTGTACGATTAACGAGAAGTTTCTAGGGCCCAACTATGTATTTTCAAAAGTGAAATAACCTCAGAAGACTGTCTGTCAACTGAGTGGTCAAACTTACCAAACTTGGTCAATCGGGCCCACAGGGCTCACGACCTCCAATTTCTGATCCAAAAGTTCCTATGGGTTCAACAAGGTACACCAACTACATCCTGCAAGTTTGGTCCTGATCGAGCAGTCGGATAGCTCTCGATCGCACGATAGGACGATCACCGCTTTCCATAATCTTTGAATCATTGATTCGGATTGCCTAGGACTCCAATTCTCAATCCGTGAGTTCCTACACAATCCTAGATGTCTATAGATCAACATATTTGGAAATGAGGCCGATCCAATTGTCCGAACATATCGAACCTGGATATTGCCTAATATGTGTAAATCCGTTCGATTATCAAACGATAACCAAATTCACATTCGAACATACCGTCGTGCTCTGGACGATATGGGAGAATTCCCGAAACACCCAACAATACCTATACCTACGTGGTCAGAATAACTAGGGGAGCAACTTTTGTTCTTGGGCCATGGCAAAAAGTGGTCGGAGCTTGCTAGAAATTCAAGCCAAAAACCGGTCAAAATTGTTAGAAATATGCCCTTAAAGCCAACTAATTATGTAATAGTTAGACTTAAAGACATCTTTGATAAAAGATATATTATGTTATCAATGGGCAAGAAAGGTTGTTTTATACATTAAATCATCCTATATTATCTTTCAATATGTAGAACAACCATAGTCCAAGGAATACACAAGTGGATATGAGAGTTATGTAATGAGATTGCATACATGGGGACTTCTCATCATCCCTAAATCCTAAATATGTTCCTGGTCATAAGAATATTAATTGGACGTCAATAACCCACAAAGACCAGTGCACACAGTATCGTCTATATATGTAGGGAATGACAATGTCTCAAGTCATT